GCGAATTGTGTGACTCTGTTTTCCGAGTAGTTTTGCTGCCGGTCACTACCTGTGATTGCTTGGGTTTGCTGATGGCACGACGAGTAAAGCCGAGGACAAAAAGTCGGTGATATTTTCCATCAAGACAACACTAGCGTTGGCTTTAGAGGGCTGTTGATCCCTTGTCCCTGATCTCCCAGGGCGCTCGCAAACATTGTTTTTACAGGTGTTCGGGGGAAGAAGGGGGGAATCACTAGAAGTGATTAAAGCTTTACTCTATTCCAGGCTGCTGGGTTCTGTAATGATTGAGATAAATTCAACAAACGGCGTGGATGGACTGGATTTGCTCATTGTTTCGTGGTGGGGTACCTGTGCTTATAGAAATAGACGTAAAATAAGGGTGTCTCTGGCTCTCTCTGTCTCTCTCTGGACACCCAGAGCCAGAGGAATGTGGCCAGCGCCCGCCCTGCGGGATTTCACATTACACTCGGTTGAAGATAAGGAAACGTGACCCAATTGTTAAAGCTTCCACTGCGAGGAAGGAGGGCGAAGCGAGGAATCTTTAAATCCGCTCTTATACACGGAGCTGCCGAGAGAGAGAGAGAGAGAGAGAGAGAGGGGTGTGTGGGGGGGTGGGGGGGGTTGTTGCAAAGTAATGCAAGAAAGAGCAATCAAACAAAAACACACACACACAAACGCACAACTTGACACGCAGGCTAATTTTTTTTAGAACTGTTTATATTATTCTTTCTTTGCAATGCGACCAAAACTCTGCAAAGGTTGGGGGGGGGGCTGCAAAATCGCAGTTTTTATCAGATGGCAGAAGAACATACATGCAGTTGGATGTTTCCCGAGGAATAAAACAAGGTACAGTCCTATGCAAGTGGGTTACAAGCAGTTAGAGCACCGTGTATCAAGATTGTGTTATATGAATTGCCTGGTTTATTACTCACCTACAATGATAAATTGTTTGGCAAATCTCAAGGACACCATTTACCCATTGTGACATTGTCGATACTTGTTGCCCCACTGCAGATCTAACCACTCTCCTGCCCCACACCCACACACACACACACTTTTCCCTTCAATATTCGCATTTGCATCAAGCTTTTCGAAAAGAAAATACAAGTGTGACTGAGATCAGGTTTGAACGCCACAGTATCTCTATGTGAAGAGTGTATTGGCTGAAATGAAAGAACTGTAATGCACAAACTGTGAATCAAACAAAAATCGATTTCAGTCGCAGTGGGCGTCATTAATCACATAATACTCACTTAAATTGTGTTAGTGTGGAATAACGTGAGTCACAGACACAATGCTGTACATCTTTATGAATAATTGACATTCTCCACTCACACCCCCCCCCACCCTCAGCAGAATGCAAGTCCTTCACGTTGGGAACGAAGGCGATGTGAAGACCTTAGCCCTTTCACATCACATTTCTCCATTCGCATTTGTTTTCATTTATTCCATTAAACAGAGTACAGTGTCCTGCGGTGCGGATGAAAAACAGCGACCAAGATCTCTATCGACTTGGAAACGAGCAATCGAGAAGCATCGAGTGTTTGCACAACTTATTTATTGTGCAGAGGACAAGCTGCGAGGTGCACCTCGAGTTGAGCTGACGGTTGCTGAAATAGCCTTCCTTCACATATAGTTTGCAAAGTAACAGGATAACGTCCACTCACTAAAGCCTTCAAAGACATCTAACAGCCACAAAGAATATATATCATGGTGGACATTTTGGAATTATGTATAAATACAGTCACTTGAGCTGACGCCAAATACAGGGTGACACTAAAAGCTATCATATTATCAAAAAAATCATCATTTCTTTAAGACTGATTAGACATTGTAATGGCATCACGACTTTTTGGTCACCCTGTCCACACTAACAACTATTTCCTTCACCCAAGTTTGTCATTTTGTTGTTTAGACCTTATTGGACATGTTTTGCACGGCCTGACATCATTCATGATCAACGGTTGACGGAAGAACATATTATCTATCTATCTGACTAAAATGATCATACGGATGTGCAGTTCAGCAAATACACCTCTCGGTCGGTCGGTCAGTCGGTCACTCTGGACAGTGGAGTGTTTCAAAGTGCGCGTTCGTTTGGTGATTTACGGTACAATCTGACTCCGATAGAGGGTTAAGGATCAGTTCCGGTCCCCAAACAGCTGCCTTGTCAATAAGGATCTGCCACAAGTGGAGACATCCCTGCTGTCAGGACCAGCCCTCGCTCCCTAACCCCATCTCCCACCTCCTCAGCCACTAAAATAAAGCAGCAAAAAACCAACCCCCCCATAGCAGGGCAACCCCCCCCCCCCCCGCCCACCTCTTCCAATTTGGTATCCTGATGGAATCAACACTTCTAAACAAAATCCGCTATCTGACAGACAGATCAAAATCAAACCTCTTTATCACTAAAACTCGACTGCTCGTTCAGCACTCCCAAGCTACCGAGCAGCTTCCCCCGTGCAGATAAGGAGCTTAATTGTTTCAGGGTCGTTTCAATGTACCTTAAGAGCTCGAGCAGTGTATAAAGAAGGCTTTAGATAATTAGCCTGTGAATTGTTTCGACTGCTATTGGTGACTGAACACACCAAACAACAAACCCCCTAAAGCTGAAAAACAATTATACAATTGTCTAAAAATAATGTGTTCTGGACGTTAAGTAAATTGTCTTGTTTCTCGAGCGCTTTGGAGCACTGAAACGATTGGTTTCTTTACAAACTTGTTTTTAGATATTTGTCACCTGTTTTTTTTTGGTTAGGGTCAGTCTAAACGACTGTCTGCTCTGAAGTTTAACTGTCAGAACATTTCTCCCGTGTGGCCTGAATGCTATCGGTTGAGAGAGAGAGAGAGAGAGATGGAAAAAATGAAAAATTACATGTTGAAATTCAAATAGGAAGGATTTCAAGTTTCAGGGATTTCATAGAATGAAATGTAAGATTTGTGTTTAATTTCGTGGATAAATCTATTACCATTGGATAATAATAATAATAATAATAATAATAATAATCCTTGCATTTGATATTGCAGCTTATGGCATCTTCGAGACGTCTGAAAGTGCTTCACAGAAAATACTGTGAAGTGTAGTGTAGTGACTGAGTATTTTCGAGTGTGCATATTATAGACTCCTGTGGTTTACCGTTGGCCAATGAAGGGATTCAGACAGGATATCTATGCATCAAACATGACAGCAATTGTGAGGTCTAATCTATTACACTATCATCTGTCCAGGCTAAGTCAGGCCTGTGTTCTGGTTGGACTCTACTTATGACACGAATTTGTGCAAAGCAGATGCTCGCAATGGTTAGACTTTGCAACACAAAGTACAGGGGTTGGAAGGAGATCATTTGGGAAAATACATGCAATTTACACGCACCTTCACTCTACCACGATACATCCATCCACACAAATGGTCTCCCACTTCGCTTTGCTACAGTACAGTATTTATCATCACACCATCTAAAGCCGCAGTTAAACTTTTATTCACATGTATGTTTATTTTGAAAGTATATCAAAATAAAGGACAGCTTCCTTTGCGACGCCCTAAGTACCGAAAAGTCATGTCGTGTAGAGTTTTGCGAGGATTGTTTTTTTTTTAAAAAAACAAGCAATTAACTTTTGTAGATGGTTCGTTTGTGGGGGGAAAAAAAACAAGATGGTGTTTAGTTTCTGAAATATTTTATCTCTCGCTCCCCTTTATTTTGTACGATTAAAAGCAGATTAGATGCAGCGATGAATGGCCCACCTCTGGTTTGCAATGAAATGCAAGATACATTTTCTTTTAAATCACAATGGAAAACTCCAGTCAGGGCAATCGATCAATGAACTGATCTATTTTACCCGCAATACTGAGAAGTGCCCTCTGGATTCTGGTTACCAATTCAGTTTCCAATTGGAAAAAGAAAACGCGACTGTGGAAAAGAAAGTAGCTGAATTGTGAGTTGACCTGATTACTGAAATGCCAACAAGGTGAGATTCACAACTATATATATATATATATGTATATATATATTACTGACGAATGTCTTTCCGGAGTAAGAAAAAGGGAAAGCAGAGCTAATTTAGAAGGAGTGAGCTTCCTACTATGAAAAACATTTTTATATGAGTCAATATAATTGACTGAGGGAAATAAACGGCGCACCGTAAATTGAGTGTGTCACAGCTTTCCACACAGATGGATATGCTTTGAGTTGGTGAGTTTTAAAGGCTCGTCTGAAGAAATCAATTTGAATCCCTGCTTTACTTGCTATAAAATGTATTAATAAAAAACAAAGCAGGCAAAAGAAATGACGCGTGTGATTGACTCTGGACAAATCCGACGTGCCTTCATTTATACGCTCGTACCCAGCACTACATTATATAGTTTTAAAAGGAAACTGTATATATGATATAATATTTATGTATATATATATTTCCGCGAAAGCTCACAGAGGAAACCGTTTAAAGATATAAACCAGTCGTGATTCCGGTAAAACGTCTCCAAGGTGATGTGCAGACATATTATTTTGCAGAACAATACTACATTTTTTATATATGTGCATATAATAATAATCCTGGCAATTGATGTAGCGTCTTATCGTGTTTTTGAGACGTCTGAAAGCGCTTCACGGAATATACTGTAAAGTGAATTACTGTATATATTCGCCCATATAATATACAGTCAATGTAGTGTAGAAACCTTTTAAGGCACATATAAATATATATGCCTTAAAAGGTTTCTGACAGTTTTGAAATGTGAATTAGGCAGGGCGCTATCAAGTTAATAAATGACATCTGTGTTATCAAATTGCAAGCTTAAAGGTTGGGTCCTGGGAGGAATACAGTGAATTCTTCAACAACAACGAAAAAAAAGAGCCTAAAATGTAATTGATTTGTATGTAAAGCCCGGCCAATCCCACAGGTGATATTTGAGAGGCTCTCGGATTTCACAGCCTGACGTGTTCTCCAGAGTCCTTCATTTAGGGAAAACTTTGCTCTTGTCTCTTTGCAATGGTAGGAGGGATGTGCAGCCAATCAGGGCTCGATCATCACTATTAATGCAGCACTTACTCGGGTAAAGGAACACATTGCTGTGGCCAACCCCTATCACAAGGCGCCCGAGAGGACATCATCACCCGCTGGATAACCGTGTCCTTTGGATCTGTTTTTTAACCCTTCCTGAGGGCTTCGCTGCTGGTGCTTTTGATTCTGTGTGTGTGTGTGTGTGTGTGTTTGCGTGTGTGTTTGCGTGTGTGTGTGGGGTGGGGTACAACTCCTCGATCATCCAAGTGAGAGTGAGCCATGTCAGTGCTGCCTTCTTTCGGTTTCACTCAGGAACAAGTCGCTTGCGTGTGCGAGGTGCTGCAGCAGGGAGGCAACCTGGAGAGGTTGGGCAGGTTCCTGTGGTCTCTCCCAGCCTGCGACCACCTCCACAAGAACGAGAGCGTGCTCAAGGCGAAAGCCGTGGTGGCTTTCCACCGGGGCAACTTCCGAGAGCTCTACAAGATCCTGGAGAGCCACCAGTTCTCGCCGCACAATCATCCCAAACTGCAGCAGCTCTGGTTAAAGGCCCATTACATCGAAGCCGAGAAGCTGAGGGGCAGGCCCCTGGGGGCGGTGGGCAAGTACCGGGTGCGGAGGAAATTCCCCCTACCCCGGACCATCTGGGACGGGGAAGAGACGAGTTACTGCTTTAAGGAGAAGTCCCGGGGAGTGCTGAGAGAGTGGTACGCGCACAATCCCTACCCATCCCCGAGAGAGAAACGCGAGCTCGCCGAGGCCACCGGGCTCACCACCACCCAGGTCAGCAATTGGTTTAAAAACAGGAGACAGAGAGACCGGGCGGCGGAAGCGAAGGAAAGGTAGGACTTCAACCGACCGGTGTATTTATTATTACAGTGCGTGTGTGTGTGTGTGAGAGAGAGAGAGAGAGAGAGAGGGGGAGAGAGAGGGAGTGCGTAATTGGGAGCAATGGAAGAGTCCCGTTAAGTAACCCATGCAGTGGGTTAGTGCACAGCGAGTCTCTATCATACACCTCCGAGGTTTGATCACCGTCTAAACAAACCCAGTCACTTCACATCCAGTGCATTTATCCTTCGGGTTTCAGCAAAAGTTGGCAATGCGATTGCAAAATAAAAAAAAGGAGGGGTTGGGGTAGGGGGAGGGGGGGGGGGGGAGAGGGGGGAAATCTTTTCTGCGCCACGGGTTCACTTCTTTTCTGCTCCAAAGGCGATGGCCAGATCGGGGGGGGGGGGGGGGGGAGGAAAGGGAAAAAAAATCAAAACATCTTGTTATTGCTGGGTTTCCGCATCCAAGCCGCAGAGTGTTGGAGTGCGGATGCGTGTAAATCAGTCAATTGGCCGCCACACTCCACATTTACCGCAGAACAAGCGACAGAATCATTGGCCGCTGTCTCTTAAGTCAAACTCCTCACTGTACAGCGACGCTCAAACACTCGCAAACGCACCTGAGAATTCTTTTCAAAAAAATCCTAACTTACTGTGCAACGTTGCGGAGATGCGTACGATTCCAGTTCAACGCTATTCGAAAAGTTTCAGCTATATTACGCAGAGATCGAGAGGCGGATTATACGTGATATCTCTATCGTTCGCTGTCTCGCAGTTGTCTGGGTTTCGTGCCGTTTAAATAGAGCCCTATTTGATGGACTAAATACATAATTTTGGACGCAGCAGATGATGTCTGCCTTCTAATTAAAAAGTCTGTTCACTTCCAGGCTGAAATGAAGCTAATCTGGCAAGACATTGCTTAAGACAATGCCATGAAATGTGAAGAACACATTAAAAAAAACGAGATGTATTTGTTTTCAATTAACCTTTTAATTTAATTCTCATTTTTTTTATTTCCCATATTACCATTGTTAACCCCAATGTCCATTCTGTTTTGTCAGACTGCCCTCCGACATCAAATATACACAGTATTGTCATTCATAAGACATTAATTGGTATCCATGCCATTTGCCAAACGGTGATCAGAATATTTCTTTGCAGTAACTGTAAGAGTGTTCCAGTTTGGGAAGTAACGTTGGCTAAACGTGTGTGAAATAGTGAGCATTTTAAAGCCAATTTATTTCCGACCCGGAATTCTCTCGTACGTCGATCAGAGTCGGTTACCATAAGATTAGAGGTTTCCACAAACTGTGTGCGTTTAAGTCAGGAACGAATGGGGGGTTTTCGCCTGGAAGTGAAGTGAGTTTGTTAACACTTGCCAAAGTCATTAACTTCCCATTACAATTGGGAGCAGAAATTGACCAGATAAATATTTGCAGAAAGAGAGAGAGAGAGAGACATTTATTGTGCTTGAATGCGATCAAAGGTTTGTGACCAGCTCTCTCTCTATATATATCTTAATAAATAAACCAAATATATATATATAAAAAATCTAAATTGAGCCTTTGCTCTCATCCCAATAGAGAAAACAACGAGAACACAAATTCCTCTACCAATAAACAGAACCAGTTGTCGCCCATCAACCGCAATAAAAACTTGATGTCGAGTTCCGACGAGGAGTTATCGCCGCCCCAGAGCCCAGACCATTGCTCCGGGAGCCCAGTGTTACTCCTCCCGGGGAGTCTCAATCAATCGGTGGATTCCACCTTCTCTCTACACGGCCTGAGCTCATCTCCAGGCGGACACAGCGGCCCAGTCCACCCGCATGGACTCCAGGACTCTCTCCTCGGCACACTCACATCCAGTCTGGTCGATCTGGGATCGTAAAACAAACACACACACACACACACAAAAAAAAGGACACACAAGAACAAAACAGAATAAAACAAATCGCCGCTGGACAGCCGACATCTGAACTGATCTGGACAGACACACTCCAGTGCTGTGCCGTGTAAATAATTTAATAGTCTTGTTCGAAGTTATGGAATTGAATTCAACTGATGGTACTTAAACAATAAATCTGTGAAGAAGAATGAAAATACATACAACCACCACCCAACGCTGTGCTTTCTCTCTCTCTCAAAGTCTTCAGAGAGAGAGAGAGAGAGGAGAGAGAGACTTGGCGTTTCATTTAATGCTCTTCAAATCCTTACACAAAAGGCTGGTGCACAATTAACAGAGGAAAAAACACAAGTGACTGACTAGCTTGGCCCGCACTGTTCCTGCCAGGTTCATTCATACACCTCTTAAACCGACCTGGATTATTTCATCCCCTTACCACCACCACCACCCCCCCCCCCTTTCCCCCCTTACCCCCACCCCGGCCCTCCAACCTTGAGATTTACTCTTTGATGGTAAACGAAACGGCGAGTAGGAGGAATGGTCTACAAATGAGGTAACTGCAAAATGGTAACTGCAAAGGGAGGTGTGGGATGCATACAGTATATATAATATATTTATATATATATATACAGTATATATCAGGCAGAGATCATGCATTGAGGCGACCTGACCCATACGAAGTTTACATTTTTCACAATGGTGTAAGGAGAGCAATGTGGAAGTAAGTTTATAATAAAATCCAAACATGTGAAACTAGCGTCATTTTGTGCTGTTTCCTTATTTTCTACATTTTTTTTCAAAAAAAAAGAAAGAAATCTTAAAGCAGTTATTTTTGGGAAAAAAAACTGTACTGGAGATCTTGGATAATCTGTAAATCGCAGTTTAGGTGAAAGACCCAACAATAATATTTTTTTTGTGTGTGTGTGTGTTGACTTGTGTTTGGGACGAAACCCATGAATGAACGCGTAGGAGTGTGTTTTTATTGTCTAACCCTCCACATACACACTCTCTCTCTCTCTCTCTCTCTCTCTCACACACACACACACACACACACACCACAAATTTCCTCAATAACTCAATTCACAAAATGACTAATCATTATGTTGCGGTTGTAAGTTGGGCGCAAGATAATTTTCCGTTTGAACTCTAATAAGCAAGTCCTTTTTTTCTTAAGTTATTAGCAGGTATGGAAACCATTTATAGCTGCACTTTCAAGTTCATTGTTTGTCTTAGGCAAGAGCCGCTTCGCCCACCCACCTAAAACATTTTCTGCTTGGGTTTTGGTAAGAGAAATGTCACTTGTGTTCATGTGTTTCTGTGCACAACTCTCTGAAGAGTTTAGACTGGTTAAGACACATTGGTTTGTGTTCCATGCTCCTAATTAATATCAATAATTATGGAATTTCAGCTGGTGGTTGAATCACTACGAATAATTATTCTGATTTATTATTATTTAAAATAAAAGTAAAAATAGGGGGGAAATTTCTCTCCCCCCCCCCCCCCCCCCCATCTTTTTTACATTTAAAACCCAGGTTCAGCTCTTGTTTATAATATACGCAGGAAATAAAACTGACGTATTAAAACGTTCAATCATTTTGCAGGAATGCTAAAATACCCCGCTGATTTGTGCGTCTGGTGTGAAAAGCTGCCTCCTGAAATATAGGTGGGAATCATCAACGTTGCTTTGTGACACGGGTTAAAAAAAAAGTGGTTTTACAAAACTTACGTTTCATAACAATTCTCCTTAAAAGGCCAAGTCGAGGCATTCCAAAATAACCTGCTGGAAATGATTTCATTTTATTATTATTATTATTATTATTATGTGTTTTCGATTTCAGTACTTCTTTGCTCGATGGTGCATGATCCAAAGGAATGGCGTTATTCATTTTTGCTGCAATATTGCGTCCAATAATACAGAGCATTCATTCAAGTGAAGTGTTGTATGTATGTACGTATGTGTGGATGTATGTTTGTATGGATTTATGGATGTATGTATGTATAATAATTGGAAGGCGAATGTCAAGGCTTCCCTACACGGGTGGGTGTGACGTGTTCCTAATGCCTTTTGATAAGTAGATTGTTATGGTTTACTGAAGACTGTATAATGTTTATTCTAGATGTTTCGGGCCATGGAGATCTCACCCCCTCTGGAGGACAGAATCTGAGTCAGGACCGGCTCGGTTTAACCTGGACTAAAACAAATAAGTAAAATACACATTTACCTTCGGAGAGTCTATATTGTGGGTCACAGAGTGGGTTTTATGGTATGTGGCCCAGAAGAAAAGCAGAGAGACGTGATTAGGTTTTGGGGGGGGGAATAATTTGAAACGCAGAAGCTTGTAAAACAATATAAGATGAGTTATCTTATAGTGAACAGAGGGCACGGCCTGCGATTGAAAGGGTGGGGGGTAAATACTGACCGAATCTATGGAAACACTACTTCGGTGAACGAGGAGCAAACTGATGGAACAGGGGGTCCCTTATGGCAGGCGGTGGACCCAGAAAGTGTCGATTCTTTCAAGTAAAAAAGGATAGATTTCTGTTAGGAAATAATATCTCGGGAGTAGACTCTATACAGTCTAGAGTTTGGGACCTGACCTGTCAAGCGACTGCCAGGATGGTGGAAGGCGAACTAGATGGGACTTTGGTCTCTTCTTTCGCCAAGCAAATTCTAATGTTCTTATGAAGTCTGACCCTTTTTTTTTATCGGTTCTCCATGCAAACTTCCAGAACTATCCGACCGCAAATCTCCAGATCGACTGGCATCTCTGAGAGATTGGGCCAAAGGGTTGCGGTAAGGCATTTTATGTTAACTCCATCCACCTCGCAGTTACAATGGGCTGGAATCAAATGTCTTCTTTTGTACACGTCTGGGCTTTTTATATGTTTTTTAATTAAATAAAAAGACAAGTCATGGGCCAATATTTACGTTAGCATTTTCCAATTAGCACACCACTAAGGTACCTTCAAAAACAAACACCATAATTGTCGTAAACTTAACGAGCTACTCTAAGTACAACTCTTTTTATTTATCGCCAGTTTATGTATAAATTGTAATCGTTTCTCTCTCTGCTTTTTACCGATAGTCCATTTGTTTGTGTGGAAAATCTGTATGGGTTTTTTTTAAAAACAAAAAATACATTTATTCACCGTTCAGCTCAAGTGATTCATAGACTCCCAGATTTTTTTTTGTTAATGCAAATGCCATAATGCAGTCAAATTACTGCCGGTTACTCAATGAAATGTTTCACAAACTTGCCCCAGAGGGTTGAGTTTCCTGAATCAGAGCAAGCATGGTTTTCAGGATAGAACTTTTTCCATCAGGTCAATCTCTCACCGTCAATAATAAATAGCCACTGGTCAGTCGGTTGGCGTGTCTGTACTTTCGCTCTATATACATGTTACTGGTCTTTATTGTAAGCCCAGCGTCGTGATGGTCGGCTCCCGACTGACTTTGATCTGGTTACACCGAGGGGCGTTTTATTTTCAGTAATCTTAAAATAGGAGCTGAAACGACCATCGCCCCCATAGCCTAATGGTTACGACAGACATTCGGTTTAAGAAACGAGTTTTCTTCTCAATGTAAAATAAACACAAGACTGGCCCCCAGACACTTTTTGCTGGAAACTAAAAAGGCCTTCTATGAGATGAGGGTAATTGTTTTGAACAGCTCGAGTTTGGAGAGAACTGAGGATTTCCTGAAGTTAATGTGAACCAGCCGCTAGCCTCGCTGAATGTGGAGCAGATTTTGGCAAATATTACAGGGATTCAATTCAGCCTTTTGTGTTTTCAAAAGCACCTCCTCGCTGATTTCGAATTTGTTTTCTTTGCGTTTTTAAGCGTGCTCGCAAAATGAAGTTCTTTATTTAAATCCACACACACAGGGGTCATGTTTATACAAAACAGCCTCTCTTAAAAAAAAAGCTGAGTCCTTTCTAAGGAATAACACGTTGGGTGCCTTGAAATAAATGAGAGAGAGAGGGAGAGAGAGAGAGAGAGAGAAAACTCCCTAACTTCCAGTGTTGTGGTGTGTATCCACACGAACCGAGAATTCTTAATCATAGACAGACCACTCGTGGGTCGCAATCAATCATATTGACAATCTTTCCCACATTACAGAGCAAGGTGATTGGTTTGCATCGAGCCTAGCCATGGTTTGAATAATCGCAAAAGTAGAGAGAGAGAGAGAGAGAGAGAAGGGGGGAGAGAGTGAGTGAGAGAGAGAGAGAGAGAGAGAGAGCAAAAAAAACAAGTCAAATGGAAAACACTGTCAGCACCATGTGATAAAAGTGTCCCTGTAGCAAAGCTCCTCGTGCGGGGTTGAAAGAAAGCATTTAATTGATGCATAAGCGCTTTGCACGGTCCAAGTGAAAACATGGCGTTTGCCAAATACCCAAGTACTCAGATACAATTGGTTGAAAAATAGTCTATTGGGAAAATACTGTACAATAACCCTTTCTGACAGATCTGAAGTCGAACTTCTGTCCACGGGCTATGTTACAGTCTCGGGGTCACGAGTGTGCAGGATATTTATTCAATGATATTGCTTTGCTAAGGAGCAAATGTAGATAGAGATGTGTTGAAGCAGTGAACACAGGGAACACTGACAGGGGAAAGAGAGGAGAATGGCTGCAGTGTGTGCTTTGCCCTGTCCTAACCTGCCTTGGAAAAAAAATCTTTCCCGTTTCCAGTTTTTTTTTTTTTTTGAAAGTTGTAAATCTGAAAATATTTTTGTTAAACGTCGCAATGCATCACTAAACCAGAACGATTGCAGATCATTGATGCGGAGATTTAGTGTGCAACAGAACACGTGAAAGGCACTTGTAGTCAGTCCTTTCCTATCATACGCTTTCGACTTTGCCTTCGATTGTACCAATTTTTGATAAAGTCATTCAAACTTCCATCACTTTAGGAACATTTTTTTTGCCATGGTTTTTTAGGTTTGTCTTCCATTTGGCAATAACAGCAACAACAAATTATACTCGTATAATGCCCTTCACGTCGGAAAGACGTCCCAGGGCGCTGGATACGTTATCAGTTGCATATATATGTACACTACTCACATAACTGGGATCCGTGTACTTGGTGACTTAAGGGGTTTCTTTAAAAGAATGTGGTATTTATTCCTTGCGAGGTCAATTCGGGCATGTGCAGCAACCCAGTGTTTCAACGAACCATTTCTATTTGTGTGTCTCGTAGCTCTGTATTTATAGAATGGACACAATGATAAGGCAACTCACCTCCGTCTGCTTGGGGGCTTTTGACAAATCTGTTTGAAATTGAGTGCAAAGGAGCGCACACACACACACACT